TGCTCAGTACAACATTTGACCTTGTGACATGTCAGGTAAATCCACAGGGGGTAACTCCAGTACAGTTCAGATAGATCTCTCTTTGTGAAATGAAATGAAAGAATAAAATAAAGAGGTGAATGATAGAAGGTGGGGGGGGGGAGGGAAGGTAAAGTGGTGAAGATGAAAAAAGTAGTAGATTAATAGAAAGGGGGCGACAACCCTTGTATGTCGTTTTTTGTTTCTGTTAGCATCATTTGGTGAGGAAGGAGGCTAAAATGGCTGAACTTTTAAAAACGTATTTGTGATTTTATTTCTTATATTTTTATATTTTATTTTTATTTTTATACTGGCAAAACAAGTGAACAGGAATAAGGTTATTGTTATTAATAATTAACGAAGAACAAGAAAGATTTTTGTTTGATTTTATTTTTATATTAATTTTCATTTGTTTTATTTTTATTTATTTATTTATTTGTTTTGTTTTATTTGCATTTGAACAAGAACAAGTAAGTACTTTTTGTAGATTTTATTTTTGTAGTTTTGTATATTATATTTACTCTTTGTTGTTTTGGCCGTTCCGTATTTATACACGGACGTCCTGGTGACGTCACTGGCTTCATTTTCATTGTTCATAAATTAATATAATCAATATGTGAAAAGTACATAGAATATAGAAAAATCAACGAGAATGATAAAAAAGTAAACGGGCTAAGACAAATTATTAAAATCATTGAAAAATTAAGCTTGAAAAAACTGACGTCATTGACATCGACAAATAGCTGAAAAGACGATGTCAATAACGTAAAACATGTATAAAAACATTTACCCAGTAAAATCATAAAATAAAAATACAAATGCTTATGATAGAAAGAACAGTTTACGATATAAAAAGGACAAACCCCGTCGTGCTCATCTATAAATCGAAGAAAAAGTCTAAAATACGAATACGTAAAATAAATCTTAATCTAAAAAAGAACAATTAAAACGACGATCAAAATCATTAAAAACACTAAATAAAATATTACGGAGGCAAACTTTAAGAACTTAAACAACAAAAAGACATCAATCATTACTTAAAAGAACGCAGTAGAACACAGAAAACGTGATGAACGCGACTTAGATCATGGGTTATAAAAAGGGAAACTAAACTAAAAGTGAGCAGGGGATAAAAACGATAAAAAAAAATGTCCCACGCTGGGGAAACGGAGACCATCTGGACACCGCATCTGGATTCTGCTATGACTCTAAAGCGAGGTTTGAAGAACCTCCACAATACATATATATATATATATATATATATATATATATATATATATATATATTTATGTGTGTCTTCATGTTTCACTTATTACGCTATATGTAGCAAGCATCGCTTAGTCTGTGAAATATGGTATTTTTTATACACCTGTTGCAGATAAATCTCAATAGTTGTATTTTGAATAGTTATAGACATTTGTAAGATTATTTCAATTAAAATCTCATGGAATCTTACAAACTACACAAATAGTGTCGTATTACCAGATAAATATTGTCTTGTCGAGGCAGTAACTGAGCAGTACCGAGATTCTAAGATAAGAATGCCTGTGAGTGAAGGTGTGTGTGTGTGTGTGTGATATACATATACGCATCTTAACCACATTATTTGCTTCGATTCCACTGCATTCGCGGACACATCACACGTTACTTTGATATTTCAACATTCACTATTTGAATGGAACAACGTCACTTGAACAGTGAATTAAGGATTAAATAACAATCAATGTTACAGGTCGATGGGACAGAAAACAGACCATCGTGAAAATGATTTGCAAATAAACAAAAAATGTTTTAATAACGCGTTTTTCCTGTCCTATAATAATACTATACGATTTACATAATTAGAACACTATTTTCACAGAATTTGTTAGACGCATTCCGGTTCCTTTTTCTTCGTATCTAGTGTCGACTTTACCATACATATAATGCCGATCACTATACAACCAATTCACCGGATAAACAAATTATTCTTTATAACCAGGTTGTTGGTGTTGCAAACTTCAATAAGATCTATGTAATTTATTTTTCCAAGTTCATATTTTCCTACTAAGCTAGGACAGGAGTTTGACTTACCAATTTGGCGTTAAAGTCGCTCATGATGATTATGTCTCTCTTAGGGATGGATTCCAGTGTTTCTTGGACTGGACTATAAAAAATCTTCATCACTTGCAGGCACTATCTATTTAGATATATAGTGTTTGTATATTGTATATTGTTTGTATAGTGTATATTCCAGGATAATATGTATATATACATATACACACATATATATGTGTATATATATGCATATCTACTTACATTATATATATGTGTATATATACATATCTACATACATTATATATATGCATATATATACATATCTACATACATTATATATATATGTGTGTATATACATATCTACATACATTATATATATATGTGTATATATACATATCTACATACTTTATATATGTATATATAATATATATATCCCTGAATATTTCCCATTAATCTCAGTACTGTACTAGTCTCCACTCTCCACCTTCTTTCTGACCTCACTCGGGGTCGAAATGCTTAACCTTGCATCTTTACTCACTCAAATACAGTAACGGTCCTTTATTTTAATCTGCCTATATATATGTATATATATATATATATATATATATATATATATATATATATATATATATACATATTTATATATATGTATATATGTATATATATATATATATATATATATATATATATATATATATATATATATATATATATGACTACCGCGATAGCTCAGTAGTTAGAGCACTGGACTCCGACCCTCGTGGTCCCGACTCCGAGAAAACGACATATCGCCTTGAGAAGTCAAACGTAGGTGTCGTAGGGGAAGCCACCGCCGCGGTCGAAACGCGGTTGATTAGGAAGGGCATCCAATCAGGCAACGGTGGCACTGCCATATAACCTCTCAATAGTGAATTGAGAGAGGCCTATGTCCTGCAGTGGAATGAATGGCTGTAAAATATATATATATATATATACATAATATATATATATATATATATATATATATATATATATATATATATATATATATATATATATATATACATATATATATATATATATATATATATATATATATATATATATATATATATATATACATACATACATACATACATACATACATACATATATATATATATATATATATATATATATATATATATATATATATATATATATATATGTGTGTGTGTGTGTGTGTGTGTGTGTGTGTGTTTGTGTGTGTGTCATCAGATACACCGTAAGTGTTTCCAGAAGACATCCATTGCTCTGCAGCTAGCAGTTTCACCGTATCCTTAGCAGGGGGAGTTGACAAGGGCTACATCTTGCTCAGGGATGACCTGGGATATTTGAAGGCCTTCCATGTTCCTTAAACACTACTCAACCAAGGTAGTGCCCTGTTTTAAGATATATAGTGTTTGTTATATTCCAGGATATTACGTATATACATATACATAATGTATACAGTAACGGTCCTTTATTTTAATCTGCCTATATATATATATATATATATATATATATATATATATATATATATATATATATACATATTTATATATATGTATGTATATATATATATATATATATATATATATATATATATATATATATATATATATATATATATATATATATATATATATATATATATATATATGACTACCGCGATAGCTCAGTGGTTAGAGCACTGGACTCCGACCCTCGTGGTCCCGAGTTCAATTCCCCGTCGCGGCGGTTGTAAAAATGCCTACGCTCTGACTGCTACCTCGACTCCGAGAAAACGACATATCGCCTTGAGAAGTCAAACGTAGGTGTCGTAGGGGAAGCCACCGCCGCGGTCGAAACGCGGTTGATTAGGAAGGGCATCCAATCAGGCAACGGTGGCACTGCCATATAACCTCTCAATAGTGAATTGAGAGAGGCCTATGTCCTGCAGTGGAATGAATGGCTGTAAAAAAAAATATATATACATAATATACATATATATATATATATATATACATACATACATACATACATATATATATATATATATATATATATATATATATATATATATATATATATATATATATATATATATGTGTGTGTGTGTGTGTGTGTGTGTAAGTGTGTGTGTGTCATCAGATACACCGTAAGTGTTTCCAGAAGATATCCATTGCTCTGCAGCTAGCAGTTTCACCGTATCCTTAGCAGGGGGAGTTGACAAGGGCTACATCTTGCTCAGGGATGACCTGGGATATTTGAAGGCCTTCCATGTTCCTTAAACACTACTCAACCAAGGTAGTGCCCTGTTTTAAGATATATAGTGTTTGTTATATTCCAGGATATTACGTATATATACATATACATACATGTTTATATATATATATATATCTACATAGATTATGTATGTATATATACCATATATATCCCTGAATATTTCCCATTAATCTCAGCACTGCACTAGTCTCCACTCTCCACCTTCTTTCTGACCTCACACGGGGTTCAACATGATATCGTGTCTTAATTGATCTCTATGTTCCTGTTTTTTTTTTTTTTTTTGGGGGGGGGGGGGGCTTACCTTCCAAATTTCACATCTCTATTGTTTGATGCTTACTTCACATAGCCCTTTCTGTCTGGTGATAATGCATCAGATCATTTTATTTTCATCATTGTTCAACCTTAGGATTCAGTATATTATAGGTAGTCTGTACAGAACAACTTCTTCAAGAACTTAGTCTTCGATTTCAGCGGCGTCAGTTTGGATAATATTGTGAAACATTGTTTTATTGTTTTTTTTTTTAATTTCATCTTATTTATTTTACGAGTGGGATTACTTGGTAGGGTTATCAAACGGTTTCTATTTCAACCCTTTATTTACATCACACTACGTTGACTTAACAAACATTAATGTTACTATCAAGTTATTTAAAACATGAAAAGCTAAAGCTCACCTCCAACGCTCACATAAAACTTCGTATAAGTGACATGTGACACCTACACCAGTATACTTTTGGAAGGACATTGAAAATTTTATCACTGAAATTTTATCACTTAACCAAGGAATCTTGGCCTCGCACGCCAAGCACCACGGAGGAAAATCACCATTGTTTCTCTTGTGCCCAAACCACCTCTCTCCATTTTCCTCCAGATCTGGTTGTGATGAGCTTGAATCCAGCGCATCGCATCATGTTCAGATAAGGCCAGAAGACTTGATGGGATGAGAGCTGACCTATGTCTTTTTCTACAAGGAAGAGAAAAAAAAAACATGAATTATACAC